GTCCACCAGCTGACTCGAGTAACAAACATTCTCAGACGGAACAAGTCTGTTTCAAAAACATCTGCCATGGCGTTGTTGGACGTTGAAAAAGCGTTCGACAATGTCTGGCATGATGGCCTGGTATTCAAATTGCAGCAGTACGGTCTTCCAATCTTCCTAGTGAAGATCATAAACAACTATCTATCAGACAGGACGTTCCGAGTCTCTCTGAATGGCATCACATCGGATGCTTTCAACATCGGTGCCGGGGTTCCACAAGGAAGCATCCTTGGTCCCATCCTATTCAACCTGTTCACCTCCGATATGCCGGCTCTCTCTGATGGTGGATCGTTGTCTCTGTTCGCAAATGACACATCCATCGTCTACAAGGGTAGGGTTATCGGAGCTCTGACTGCCAAACTTCAGAGAGGCCTGGACGTCCTGTCTGAATATTTCAACAGCTGGAAGATCCGTATCAACGCGGCAAAGACCCAGGTCATTATCTTTCCACACTTTAAATCTCCTAGACTTGTTCCGTTGGAGAATAACAAGATCTGCCTGAACGGCACAGTGATGGAATGGTCCAAAGAGCTCGTGTACCTCGGGCTAACACTAGACAGCAAGCTTCTTTTCAGGGAGCACGTTGACAAAACAAAAACCAAGTGCAACATCTTGATAAGACCGTTGTATCCACTTATCAACAGGAAGTCAACCCTGTCCCTGAAAAATAAGCTTGCTGTCTACAAACAAATCATCCTTCCTGTAATCGAGTACGGTATGCCAATCTGGGAGACTTGCGCAAAATGCCATCACCTTAAACTTTAAAGGATCCAGAACAAGATCCTTAGGATGGTCCTAAACAGTCCCCCGCGGACTAGAAAGTCTGAGATCCACCTCCTGGCTGGAATTCAGACATTAGAAGAACGGAGAGTATTCATCCTGGAAAGGTTCAGAGACACCTGTCTGAGATCAAATCATCAGATCATACGTGATCTAGCACGTTAGGTTAAGTTATACTCGTAGTTAGGTAGGTTATCACTTTTTTCAATTCAAATAAAACACATCCCCAAAGGGATATTCTGTAAACTAGTTGAAAAACGCAAATATTAAATTAGAATATCAAACTAAACAAAGATGAAGAGCCAAGTAGGCTAATCAATTAAAATGATAAATCAATGTACTACCATAATCAACAGAAATAAACATAATTTTACTACTACTTTTTCAGTCAGTTGTTGGTTATTCATAGAGCGTATGTCTCATGTTAAGCATTTATTTTTTATTTTTAAAAATGTTGGCTCTGCATATAAAAAATTAATTGTTTATACATAATTGTGGTTTGCTTAAAATTTATTTCCCGGAAAAAAAAATGATTGTCAAAGTCTTTGTCTTTTTCGGGCTATGTTAAGGAGGGAGGGGGAGAGGTTGTTTTACATGCACGTTTTTTCAAGTCTCATTCCTCATTGTGGTGGACACGCCGTGATCCACCTTTGGCAGCTGACTTGGAACTGCTTGCTGCAGGACCTAGTGCCACGCCGTTCGAAGTGGTAATAAGCAGGAGAGCAGCGCTGATTTATATCTTTCAGTTTCAAGCAGAATGATGTGCAACCAAGTGGTATTCGTTTATGATGACTGGGTTTGGGAAAAAGGCTTATTTCATGAAAACAGTGATAACATTACCATTTGTATATTTTCAAAAGTTTAATTACAGAAAATTAGAAAAAAATATTTATTTCAGCAGGTTCGTAATGTAATATCCTATCGATTGGCGTATTTGGATTTAAATTTCATTTATAAATGACAAAGTTACAAGCGTTTAAAACCTAACACTCCTTCACCACACATATTTTTTGATTTGCACCCCAGTATAATCGACAAAGACGTAGTTCTACGTCAAAAAACTGTAGGAAGTCGAAAGAAACAAGGATATAAATCCGGAAGAAAGAGCTCTTGGGGGATGTTCTAATGATCCAGAAAATTTTTCAAATGGTCATAAAACATCCCTGAAGACCCTGCAATGCCCCTGAAGTTTTTGAAACATTCCATAGTTAGGAATATTTTTTCAACTTTGAAGGTCTCTTTCTTGAAAATTGAGAAATTTCTTAGACACTCTCGAAATTTTCTTGAATTTATTGTAACATCAGCATTGCAGTTCTCTGATCTTCCCGATTTTTCTAATTTTTAAAAGCTATCGACACTGCCATTAATAAGCACGGAACTTCTCATACAATGTTCTCACAATGTGATAATGTTCATGTAACTTCCCTTACGTTTCTTAAATTTGTATGAGCCCATTATCTGTATATCGGCATCTAGTTCGGAAATCGGTATAAATACCGATAAATCGGTATATCTGGACAACGGAACGCAATTCACCAGCAAGCAGTTTCAACAGTATTGCCGCGCAAATGGCATTATCCATCTCCGCACTGCTCCCTACCACCCGCAGTACAATGACCAAGCGGAGCAATTAATCAAATGGTCGAGCAGTTTTGGGACGACCTTCTACCAGCGATTTTACGGAAACTGCAAATTGCTTGCTAAATCATGGCCTTCTTCGCGAACTTGTCGGCAAACACGAACTTGAATCTTCCCGGCGCATCCCCACGTCCAGTCGCAATGTAAAACTTTTGACTGGAAAGCTGCTTAAAATCGAGTTTGACGTATGTTTCTTCATCGATAAAAGTGCAGCCCTTGTGTTTCGCCAAAACACGGTCGTACAAGAGACTTGCACGCTTTTTGGCCACGGAATTCTGCTTCATGTGCCGGTTCGGATGTTTACTGGCTTTGTACGACTTGTATCCTTCCCTGGCAAGGATGTTCCGCACCGATTGAAAGTTGGCGTTGTACCTTCTGGCCACAGCTCAGATCGAAAGACCGGGGTTGGCTTTAACGCACCTCAACACCTTGCTGCGCAGCTGACGATCCCTGGTTCCAGTTTTTTCGTAGGTCCGCTGATTCCTTTCCACACTCAGAGTTTCCTTGTAGGTTTTGAGCACTCGACAAACTGTTGTTTTCGGCATCTTCAGCACTTTAGGCAGATTGGAACCGTACCACTCTGGATATTCCAGGTGTTTGTGCACAATATTTTGTCTTCTTTCGAGTTCCATTTGACGTTATTTCTGAACGCGATCGGCTACTTTGATTAAACTTGCACCAGTTGTTCTCTTTAGAAGTGTAAACAAACCACTGTCAAAGATTTTCAATTCCCAACACTAGAGGCGTGCTAGCGGCGCGTGAGGGGCGTACAAACAAAACGAGCAGTTCAATTGTCGACATGGAGCAGTCAAACGCGACTTCGAAGAAGATGACCTGCACACTTAGAAAAATTCATGTAAATTTAGGTGCTATGAGAGTGACATATACGAGCGTCAATTTTGACATAAAATTGAGTCATAACAGACGCGAAATATAGCTCAATCAAACGTACTTTTCGTCAAGCAACGAGGTTTTCAGTGGCATGTTTGTTTACGTCTCATCCTTTATGGATTCCGTCACGTGTAAAATTAGTTATTTCTAAGTGTGTGGTTTTAATTGAGCAGCATCACAGAAACGCCAAGTCCTGGATTCCTGGCCTAGTCATCGAACGGAAAGTTTCCGTCCCTGGAGATAAACGGAAGACTGAAGCTGGTGAGATCGCATATCAACCAAATGCACGGTCGTCACAATTCTGACGCAACAATCGACGCAGCAGCTACCATGGGAAATCTTGCTTGATGAGGTTCAAGATGCCATAGCTGTACCGAATGATCCCGAAGTGCCTGTCAATCCCGATGTCCCTATTCCTGTTGGTTCCATGTCACTCGAAGCTGTTGATCTAGTAGCAAGTACATCCGGCACGAATCCGATTATCATTCATGAAGCTGCTGCTCAAAATGCAAAATTTCAGTCCGCACAAATACCCATGCCATCTGAACAAGTTGGAGAATTCCTACGACGTTCCGTACGTGAATCAAGAATTCCAAAATAGTGAAAGTGAATTAGTTAAAGTGAATTGATGATTTTTTTGAACCCTGGTTTGGAAATTAACTCTACAAGAAGGATTTTGGAGTTTCGAAATGACCCGTTCGGAGAATTTCTTTTGGGAACTTCGTTTCACCTAGATGTTCGGGAAAACTCATAGTAAAGGTGCAGGGTGTTCCAAGAAGTTTGGAGAAGTTTAAGGATGTTCTGAGATCTTGGTTCAATTAACAGATCTGAAAAAAAGAACTTATGGAACGTTTATTAAGATCAGAGAGTTTTGACGATTGAAGTCATTGTTAACAGCAGCGATCCTACGCCGATTTGAATATTTAAAACGCTCTGAATTTAATACTCCTCTGCACTTCTGTTTACAACTGAAAACAAGCATCGATCAGCAAATTAACACAACCTGCTTGACACAGTTTTAATGATTATTTCAACAATCGTCCCGACAGTTGTTTCATTCGTTCGAACAACTTGAACTCGGGCGTGCAGAGCCAGGCAAGGGCAAAATTGAACTTCCCCGAGCATTTCCTATAATTGTACGCCCCCTCCTCATATTATATGCAGATATCGCGAACGGTGTAACATGTGTTCGCTTTCCCAAAGACAAAACGCCTCCCCCCTCGAACTCCCGCCACTTGTTTATCCGCCTCGTGAAACATTGACCCAGGTACGGAATACCCCTGCCAATGTCAACCGGTGTTTGTTGTTTTGCATATATTTGTACGATTCCATATTCGAAAGCGCATATTGTCTTGTTCTGACTACATAACATATGTTGATATGGCTTCGTTTGGGTAGACATATGCATATCGTTTAGCACAAAACTTTCGATTTCAGACCGTCTGACATTTTGACAGAAAACGTGTAGGATTTAGCACAAGCATTTAATAAAGAGGACAGCATCGGTGTCGTTTCCCCCCCCCCGCATGCCGTTCCATTGCTCGTCGATCGCCGAAAGTGATTAGGTTCACCCCATTCCAGGACCAGAGAGTTTTCCGGATGGTCAATCATTGTTGGAGGGAAAAAAAATAGGCATCAAACATTCAACTCACCATATCAAGTGGATGACGAAGAGAAACAAACCGGGAACCACTAGGTCGTCGGAGCCGACTGACCACCGTCGGCGGAACACTACAATGCCCGGCATCTGAAAGGAGAGAAAGAAAAAAGACAAAAGAAAGTGTTAGGGAAGCGAACAAATGAGCTTAGCCATTTATTATGAATGAAAACGTTTCATCATCGAGGCAGAGAGGCCCGTTAAGCGCATTAATCCTCAGCCGCTAGAGCTGCTGCTGGTGGGTGAGTTGGTGGGATGATGGTTGAGAAAATGAATTGTCGTGGCATAAATGATGCGGTTTTGAGAGTGATGCTTCGTATAATTTAATGTCTGTTTTTATGGATGGTGGCATAGTTGAATCAATTCTGGTTCTCGGAAGAGTTTTCTTCGGTGCTGAAGTTTTCACTGTCTTTCGGATAGTCGTTCGTAAAAATCTCATTCATTTTTTTCGTCAATGATAAAGATTCACCGTGCTACAAAAAATTATGTATTCCTCCTTCCTTACTCAAATTATGTCTATTGTCATTTTGCTCATAATAAAAATGTCCATGAATTCTGTTTTCATCAGTATAAAGTAGGATTATTCATTCCATATATTCTCAGTAAAAATGAAAATAACCCATCGGTGAGGTTCACTACATTTTCGACGCTCTAAAATGAACTCTAGTTTTGTATTTTTCATGCAACGTGTTTAACGGCTTAACGCATCATTTCAATAACGCTTAACTATCAGCACTAGCGTGCACAGGAATCTGGTTAAGAAGGGGCAATTTTTTTCTATGGTGCATTTGATCTGGGGATGGGGAGTACTCCAAAGTGCATGGTGGATGGTACTGTCCACCCATTACTGGCTGTTAAATTTAGCTAATTTTATTTATATTAAGCAATTATAATGGAATTAAAATGAAATAAACCAACACACTCAAAGCTCTTCATAAAAGCATATTGTTGTTTTTGTACTTGCACTTGGCTTGTACTCCAGCAGCGCTGCCAGCCATTGTGCTGGCACTGTCAAAACATACTGCCATGAACTGCTCCCAAGAAATCTGCATAGCTGTCTCAGCAATGGTATTGAAGATTGTCGTCGCGTCTGTTTTCAACACCCGTCTCACACCCACGAACGTTTCCGTCGGTCGATCATTATCAATATATCTGATGACAATCGCCAACTGCTCGTGGTGGCTACAATCGCTCGTCTCATCTGCAATGATTGCCACTAGTTTTCCTCACAAGGTTTTCGCAATGTTCCGCAACATTTCATGCCATTTTGAGTACGGTTATTTGTGTACTGGCCATTTTTGGCACCTTCCGCCAAGTGTTTTTCCAGCACAGGATCGTAGTTAGCCACCAACTGGGTGGCACACTTTCCGCTCCTTCCGAATGTTCACGAAGTGGTCGGCCACCTTTGCAAAGTATGCGCACGTTCCATTATATAACGATTTTCTAGCCGCTTTGCCTTACTAGCAGCAATCATAGCTGTTTTTTGGTGGTCCAGTTTTTCGTCGATACCCTTCCTAGTTTTGAAATTCTTCACGGTAATTTTTACCGAAATCTGAACAGCTGAACTTTTCGGTAAAATTTATGCAATTCAATTCAATTGCTTTTCAGCTACTTTGAAACTAAATCTCCACTAAAATGACAAGATTTGATCATTTAAACAAGGTTGAACATTTTTTGATATTATTTTCAAATTCAATAGCCTTTAAATTGAAGGTCAAAGTTTTACCGAACGTTCAGCTGTTCTGATTTTGGTAAAATTTACCGAACACGGAAACAAACTCTTAGTGTGTAAGCCCTTATACCACCCCGAACAGACTATGGCTTATATCATGTAATATAGGCTATCTTGCAATTAGTACTCATACACTACCCGTCATAAGTGATGACTCGCGTGGAAAAGTATTGCAACACTCGTTTGAATATTGCATCACCCCCTAAAAAGTTTAGCATCACCCAAGAAAAGTTTATATTTTCACTTAAATTTGAACAAATTCACTGTATCACTATTAAATTATTGTAGTAAACATTCAGAAAGCCAGAATTAGGCTATGAAAGTGTTGCAAAAAGTGATGGCTCCCGGTAGAGAAGTTAGATATCACTATGGATAGTACTGAATCATTTCGAGCTAGAAATCATTTCAAATTTATTGATCTAGTAGATTTTCAGGTCTGATTCACATCAAATTCATGTGATTCTAAACTGTTCAGGTCTGATTCACATCCAATTCAAGTGATTTCAAACTTTTCAGCTCTGATTCACATCAAATTCAAGTGATTCCAAACTTTTCAGGTCTGATTCACATCCCATTCAAGTGATTTCAAACTTTTCAGCTCTGATTCACATCCAATTCAAGTGATTTCATACTTTTCAGGTCTGATTCACATCAAATTCATGTGATTCTAAACTTTTCAAGTCTGATTCACATCAAATTCAAGTGATTCCAAACTTTTCAGGTCTGATTCACATCAAATTCAAGTGATTTCAAACTTTTCAGGTCTGATTCACATCAAATTCAAGTGATTCTAAACTTTTCAGGTCTGATTCACATCCAATTCAAGTGATTTCAAACTTTTCAGCTCTGATTCACATCAAATTCATGTGATTTCAAACTTTTCAGGTCTGATTCACATCAAATTCAAGTGATTCTAAACTTTTCAGGTCTGATTCACACCCAATTCAAGTGATTTCAAACTTTTCAGGTCTGATTCACATCAAATTCATGTGATTCTAAACTTTTCAGGTCTGATTCACATCAAATTCATGTGATTCTTAAATTTTCAGGTCTGATTCACATCCAATTCAAGTGATTTCAAACTTTTCAGGTCTGATTCACATCAAATTCAAGTGATTTCAAACTTTTCAGGTCTGATTCACATCCAATTCAAGTAATTCCGAACTTTTCAGGTCTGATTCACATCAAATTCAAGTGATTTCAAACTTTTCGGTTCTGATTCACTTCAAATTCAAATCATACCAAACTTTTGTGTATAGAATCGCAACGACTTCACGAGATTCTAAACTTTTCAGGTCTGATTCTCCGTTGAGCGATATTATTCTTATGGCGGGTAAAATATATTAAATGACTTACGATTTTTCATAGTGATTTCAAACTTATCTACTAAGGATCAATAAATTTGAAATGATTTCTAGCTCGAAATGATTCAGTACTATCCATAGTGATATCTTACTTCTTTACCGTGAGCCATCACTTTCTGCAAAACTTTCCTAGTCTAATTAAGAGTTTTCTGAATGTTTACCACAATAATTTAACAGTGAATTTGTTAAAATTTTAGTGAAAATATAAACTTTTCTTGGGTGATGCTAAACTTTTTCAGGTGATGCAATATTCAAATGAGTGTTGCAATACTTTTCCACGCGAGTCGTCACTTATGACGGGTAGTGTACATCTAGTTTTCACTGGAATACCTATGTATGAGTGCTCATTGCAAGGCAGTCTATATTACATGATATAAGCCATAGTCTGTACGGGGTATTAGAATTCTACATGATTTTTTCTCAGAACACCTTGGCACTGAAATTCCTGTAGAGTTTCAGAAAATTTTTCCGGAATGAGCTAGAAATTATACTCGGAATTAGCTTGAAATTTTGATTTAAATCCCTTTGGAATTTCACTCAAAATTTGTTTTTCTCGGTATTCTTTTCGAAATTATTTTGAAACTATCTGCAGGATGCACTAGAAATTATCCGCAGAATTTTCTTTGAATTCTTCCCAGAAATATTTTGGAACAGTCCTGAAAATTCAATATCCTTGAGGTTCTTCTCGGAATATTTTTGAACTTTTTTTTCTCAGAACACCTTGGAGCTGAAATTTCTCTAAAGTTTCAGAAGCATTTCCTATGTATTCTCCAGAAATTCTTCCCATAATAAACTTGAAATTATCCTCGGAATTCCCTTGGAATTTCATTCAAAATTTGATTCATTCGGTATTATTTTCGAAATTATCTTGGAACTATCTGCAGGATTCACTAGAAATAATTCGCCGAATTTTATGAAATCAGCCCCATAAATCTTTTCTTTTGGAACTGTCCCCAGAACTCAATACTCTTGGGGCTCTTTTCGGAAGTTAAGTTTAAGTTGTCCGTTGTAGTTTTTCTACCAGAAAAACAAGCAATAAAGCTTGTCCCTCCATTCACCAGAACTGTGCAATTTTTACATCAGGAATTTTGAATTCATTGTTGCAAATCTTACACCAGAAATTTTCAATACAAACTTGCCCCTGGTAATTTTACACCAGAAAATTTCAATTGACCAGAACTATGCAAATTTTCTACCATTGAAAATAAAAATAAAAATTGCTTCTCCAATCAATTTTTCCATTTTCACACAAGATATTTTCAATATAGATTGCTTCTCCTATCATGGGAATGTTGCAGGTTTTCCACCAAATAAAGCTTGCCTCTATTTTCAGATTTTTCATCATAAATTTTCAGCAAAGCAGCTTTCCTCCAATCATCAGAATGGTGCAAATTTTACACCCGAAATTATTATTAAAATTCGTGGCTCTATTCAGCAGAAGGATGCAAATTTAATACCAAAAATTTTAAGAAAAGGTTTCCCATTCGTTCACCAGAACGGTGCAGATTTTCCACCAGATATTTTCAATATAGCTTAATTTTAAATAAAGCTTGTGCCTTCATTTACCAGACCGGTGCAAGTTTTCCACCAGAAATTTTCTGTTCATTTTATTTATCAGAGCAATGCAAATTTTGCACCAAAATTTTTCAAAAAAGCCTGCTCCTCCATTCACCAGAACGGTGCACCAAAAATTGTCAGTGAAGTTTGTTTCACCATGCACCTTTGTGGTGCAATTTTCAGGCTTTGCCTTTTCATGCAATGGTGCAAATTTTCCACCATAAATTTTCAATGAAGCTTGCATTCATCAGAACGATGCAAATTATGCACCAGAAAAATGAATAAACCTTGCTTCTACATTCACCACAGTGTTGCGAATTTTCCACCAGAAATTTTCAGTTAAATTTCCACCTCAAAATTTTTGGCCTGATTAAATTTTTCCACCAGAGTTATTCATTTTGATTATTTCCTCCATGCACCACCTTGATGATATGTTT